GGTTTTAATTATGCGTAAACGAGCGGAGGCTTCTTTTCATTACACAAATTTTTTAGTCGCACCTACCTCGCTTAAAAAGACATAAAGGCAGGAGGCTTGAATTAATTAATTTTTTTTTTTACATTTGTTACCTCGTTGTTTCACTTTTTTTTTTTTTTTTTTTTTGTTTCTTTTTTTTTTTTTTTTTTTTTTTCGTCATATTTCTTTTTCGAGCCGAAATAGCGAGGGAATAATGAGTTGAGAGGGGACTCTCGCGTTATTTATAATCCTAAAAAGAGGCACTCCCTTCCGCGTACACGCATACTTTTAGTGGGAAGGAAAAAAAAGGGTTAAACATATTATGTACACGTGGCTGTCGAGTACTTTGAAACTTTTCCGCGAACGCGTCGTCGTAGCCATTACCGAACTCAAAACTCGGTAATTTGCTTCTTTTTTTTTTTCTCTTTTGAAAAAGATTACCATGTACCGGAGAAGCCTTCAGGGGTCGCGTCGCGAGTCCCAAATTGTTTTCGTCATTACCTCCCCTGTATGATCTCGTTCACTTGCACGGCTTACTCGCAAAACCCATTTATCCGGTCTCTACGTACAAGGGCGAACCCTCGCGTGCCTGTGCCAGAGGATGTAATGGGGTGTTAGACGAAAGGGAATTTTGAGGCGAAAAGTGTGTACCCCGAGACGCGCGTTATTATTTCCCGCGTGGGTGCATAACAGCAGCGCGCGAGTAATTAGCAAAGGTATGTGACTCCTGCGGTGGTGTGGATACGGTAATTTCACGCGTCGCGAGCAACGAGATGGAGTACGGCTCTTTTCGTCTCTGCCCTGTTAACTCGTCTACCACGAGGTTCCGGCGTTTGGGAAGTATATTTTTGATCTCGTATGTTATCGGGCTGTGTGCACATTTTACGGTGAATCTGTAATGGTGTACAGCGTTGAGAAACGATGCGCGGGACAAATGGCTTTTTCATCGATGAAAAAAATATCTAGGAAGCGCCGAGATAGTCGTGTGGGAGGAAAATTTACGATATGTAAAGTTATCCATCCTTTTTTTTTCTCATTCAAAATAACTCATGCAATCCTTTAGGGAATTTTTTTTTTTTTTTTTTTTTTTCGTAAAAGATTTTTGGCCGATCTTATACGAGTCTGCTCGACGTAGTTATAGATTTAAACTTGAACCCCTTGACCTCGTAACTATATTAAAATCACTGTCTTCTTATGGTAGGCCTTAGAGATGATTGAAAGGCGAATACCATTTAGGTAGTATCAGATTTTTTTTTTTTTTTAAGGTCACTTTAATAGAAAAGACAAAAGGTTCATTTCGAGATTTTCTAAAATTAATTTTATAACGTGCGAGANAAAAAGAGGAGATGGAAACGTAAGGCTTGGGGAGATAAAAGTGTACTTGAGAGAGCCAAGGATGCACGTTTCGTCGTGCGAGGACCGCCAGGGAGATTTTAGAGTGCACGTTACGTGCGCTTCATTATTCAGTGTACAGGTTTTATTGTACCGCGTCTTCTCTCTCGATTTTTCGAGTGAAAAAGTTTCGGGCCATTATTGTTCCCTTTTGCGGGTCGAAGAGTTTGGATAGCGGATGAAAATTTTTCGTTAAATTTTTTTTGTCAACGAGTGACCGACATCATCGACGTAACGGAAAAGGAAAAGAGACGTATCAAGAGAGAGAAAAATTTTTGCTTTGACGTATACGTTTTTTTTTTTTTTTTTTCTTTTTTAAAGGGCGAGTTCCATCGCTTCATTAAATTTCAGGGAACAGCGGCGTGCGGTCGTGCGATTGAGGTATTTTAACTCGCGAACGACGGAAAGGAAAATAAAAGTAAAAAAAGGAACTCGGACAGCGCCGCCGAGCTTGACTCGGATGATTCACTTTCATTGCGGCTGGGCCGAGTTCCTCCCTTTCACTGTCGTAATTACTCGTCGCCGGAGAGGCACTCCCTCTTTTTTTTTTCATTCCCCTCCTCGTTGACTCCGACCACGTAAAATTTCACGGTAAACTCGCGACAGGATCGAATAATTAATTGAGTTGCGCGTGTTTTATGTATGTATATATACCTCGAATCGCAGTGGTAAAAAATTTATTCAGATTAGCTGAACATCGATTTGTACATATTGAGCCGGTCGGAACCATCCTTCTCTTATACCGTCAACTTTCTCCTTAATTCCTTTTCAAACAGTCGAGAACTTTTGTTCAAAGTTCCTTACACAAAAACTTGAATTTTCCCTCGTAAATATTCCCAGTGCACCTCAATGATTCACTTTGCAGAGCAGTAATTACGTAGCACGGGGGTTTACAAAATTTTTGAAATAAAGCCAGTAAATTATTCCGAGCGTCCCCACAGTGTGTACACCCCCTCAATCATTTGTACGTACCCGTATACGCGTCGGTCTTTATTACGCAAAATAAAAGCACGAGAAAACTCAAACTAATTACGCTAAAAAATCGACTCGATTAATTTTCTAAAGTTATCCAGCCGATGCCGCGTCGCATTATGGTGCAGAGAAAGACAACAACGGGTATATAGCGGGAGGTACACGGGTATACGAGTGATAAACGAGGTGGGTCGTGACGCAGCGCTCGATCCTGCGTTATTGTATAGGTGCCGGGGTGCAAATAATTTTCAGCAGAATGTGGATTTTCCTCGCTTGCCTGAACATATATTTACATCATCGACCGGTGCGATGGCCAAAATGTACCTAATCGTCCATTAATTTTTAACGATCGTTTGGTATACACGCGCACACACGTGAACTTTCATCCTATACGTATATTTTTTTACATTGTAAGCATAAGTGACTTTCATCTGCGCTTGTTGCGATGTATAATATGTATGTACAGTGTCTGTCTACAGTGTGGTCCATATTAACTAATATATTTTATGGGGCACTGAAAGCCAACTTTTAGTATTCATGATATCACGTGAAAACAATGCAGGTTGTTGAGAAAATTCGGTCGATGGAAATAGTCAGATATGACGTTAACAACTAATCGGGATGATAATTGATGGTGACCAAGAGAGATTCACACCACGTAAGGGTTCATCGGTTATAATTTCTGCACTAAAATGTTAAGTGTGACAAAGGAGCCATAGAACATTACTCGAGTACTTGAGGGAATTTTTTTCGTATTCATTTCTTTGGACGACAAGCACTATGTTTTTTCGTGTCTGCACAGATGACCGCCATATAATGACATTGATGTTTTTTTTTTTTATTTGAAACAATAAGATATTGGCATGGTTACAGTGCCTAGCTCAGCATTTGAACTATTTACAAGAATAATAGGCTAAAATCTTTCGAAAGCACATCAATCTCTTTTATACAGTAAGTGTAGTTAATCCACTACCGTAAGAGATTCTGATAAATCAGGCAAGTTGAGATACTCGAATGAGAAATATTGATAAAACTCAACGAATCAAGTTTAAAATACTTAGGTTTTTTTTCACCTGTCATAAACTGATTTTGTGTCTTATTTTCTAAAATTCTCGTAACAATATTGTCAATGTCATCCTCATTACCATCATAACTTTTATCATCACTACCATAATTGCATTTATCGTCACTGTCCCCATCTCTGATAATATTATTTGACATGTAAATAATCACAAGTGTGACATTCAAACATTCTGAAAACCACAGCATATTCGTAACAAGTATATCACAATCATTACATTTTCGACGAACTGTTTTACATTTCCTTAGCTATTTAAAATTTTGATTCTTCACACTTAGAAAATTCGTTGTGTTTATTTTCACACCGGAAAGTTCATTCGTAAAAAATATTTACTGGTAAACAATTTTCATGAGCTTTACTGATGACTTACTACAAAATACGAACTAATGCAATCATCTGTATATTAATAGCGAACGAATGATGAAGCAAAAAATTTTCGAAAGATCAACATCTAGTCTATTGGGCGACAAGCCTTGTGTACCCATACTTTGTTAGATTTATAGCAGTCAGCAGCTCGTATTATATATCCACCTCCTCCATGAGCCATGCACTTATCGAGCCAACATTTTGGTATCTTATAACGAAGGTCCAAAGGGTGGAATCTAGATCTACCTTTTATTTGCTCTGTTGTAGGATTTGACTCGATAGATTCGGTTCCGTAAGGGATACTGATAAATTGGTCGTACAGAAGACAAGTTTAAATGAAAGACATGTATAAAACACAATCAAAGTTTAGATTTTTCAATGCTCTCCTACCTATTGTAAATAGATTGCATGTCGTAATTTTCTTCACCACTATTGCACTTATTGTTATTGTCGTTATGGCTGCCATCGTTACTGTCAATGCAAGCACACAAATCGATACAAAAGTACCTACAATCTTCAATCAGAGCAGTAAAACATACACTCGCTGTATTTAAAAACAGCAGCTTACTTGTAACAACTATCACAATCAATACTGTATTAGACATGTCATTGCAAGTATAGTAATGCTGTACCTACACACAATGACAATCTTTTCATGACTGTCGTTATTTATGTGTTCAAGCGAGTACACGAGTATAATTTTAACTCGGTTTTTCCGATGTACCACACATGTACAAGAAGTTTGATGATTTATTAAAATGAATTTTATCCTCGTGATTGCTGATTTTTCTCTTTTCATCTATTTTGTACTTCTTTGGGTGCTCAAAAGATTTGTAAGGATTTAATCTTATAAAACATTTCGTTTTGAAAGGAAAAAACATTTATATTATAATTTCGATTTATTGTATCATATTAACTAATCTATCCATTTAAGAAACAGTAAAATTAAATTCATCAATATATTTGGCAAGAAGATATGAAGCTACAACAAAGTCCTCAGTCTTTTGGACGACAAGCATCGTGAACCCAATTTTCATCGATATTACATCGATGAGCAGCTGATATTACCCCTTCACCGAATCTCAAACTGCTAAAATTAATGTCAAAACAGCAGTTCGGATTCTTGTTACGGGGATCAAAAGGATGAAATCTAGATCTAGATATAATTTGTTCCAAAGTCAGCTCATAAGTCGTTGATCCATTTATGTTTGGGATGCTAAAAAATAAGGAAGTTAGAGTAAAACTTGAATGAAGAATATTGCTGAAATTAAAAAAGTATTCATGTTGAAAATCAAGCGTATTAATGCTTTCTAACCTGTTGTAAATGGATATTGTGTTATACTGCTTGTAATCACCATTATAACATAATTATTCGGTTGACTTTAATAAATGTAGTTAGTGTCGAATTGGCTTCCACGGAAAAAACATTGTACGGTCAAGGTGACTGCCGTAGGTCATTAAAACACGTGATCGAGCTCGTTCTCTGATGGTTATTAAACGCGGTAGTGACGTAACTAGTAAAATATTAAGAGACATTGTTCTTTTTGCAGTTTATCTAGGCCTTGGACGAACGGTTAAACAACAGTTTCTCATGCTTGCCTTTATAGCTTATACACAAAATTCAGATGTGCTTTTGAACGATTACATGGTATCGATGAATGTACGACGGTAATTTTTCTACTAGTTCAAACAGTTAACAATATTACGACGTTATACAATTTGCAAGTCAACTCGCCCACGTGGTTTAATGACCCACGAGCTATTTTCAGATTACATTCTCTAATGCCGTGGAAGCCAAATCGACCATAAAGAATACGTTCGCTTGTTACCAGAAGATTACTCGATATTAACTTATCACTGCAATCATTGACACTGTCATTATAACTGGTATTATTACTGCTGTTAACACAAAAATTTACATAGAACTTGTCACTATCTTCAATCAGTGCAGTGGAACAAACATGAACTGTACTTGAAAACCATAAAATACTCGTGACAAGTATAACCATCACTACTTTACTAGACATGTTGCTACAAAAGACTAGTGGACTATGACAAACAATTGGTTACTGATGTCCTTTACGATGATGCTACTAGTATAAGAGAGGATGATTTTAAACCGGTTTTGTCTAGGTACAATGCTCAATTCTATCTCATACTCTTACATGATGTTTTTTTCCCATGCATTTTAATTAGAATGTTTACAAAATCTTCTTGCACGTTTCAGAGTTTATTTATGAAAAATATTCGTTACAAAAAACGAATGCGTGCATTTAGATTATAATTTATTTTACAATGCCAAGCTGTACAAAAATCTGTAAAAATATGCGATAAAAGCAGGAACACAATTCATACGCAAAGTATTAGTTGTACGAATGCATTAAAACAGTTTTGACAAGTCAAGGATTTTCGTCCTTGGGGCGACAGGCATTGTGTATCAATACTTCTTTATCTTGACAGTGTTGAGGAGCTGCTACTCCTGAACAATATGACGGAGTGCACAAGTGAAGGTCAAACCAGCACTCTGGCCTCTTGTAACGAGGATCACGAGGATGAAATTGTGATCTGGCTTTAATTTGTTCCGCCGTGAGCTCTTGCCTAGTTGATCCGCTCGTGTGAGGAATGCTAAAAATTAGTCCACCAGAGTAAACAAGAGAGTTAAAACTATTCATGAAACTGCAATTGCTTAAACTGTATATAAAGTTTAAGGTTGCTATAAGATCGTATTTATGGGACGCTTATTTAACAATTACGTACAACTAACTGGTACTTGAAAAATATTTATTGAATGAGATTTGAAAAAGTCTGGTATCAATTTTGAAAATCTGAAGTTTTGTCTCTTATACTCTCTCTCTCTTCACTTTTCGGAAATAAGTTCTGTACAATGTACAAATATTAATGAAATTTTTTTCAGATTTATATACAGATTTGTAATAGCTGGCAAACTAAAAAGCAAGTGTTCATATTACCTATTGTAAGTTAAGTTGAAGTCATATTTTTTATCATGATTATAATTATCATCACTGTCATTGTGGCCGTCACTATCTCGGTTTTCATCATCACTACGACCGGCATGATCCTTTTCACCATCTTTAATAATAGCAGCGTAAGTTTTATATTTCGTGTTTGAAAACAACACCATACTCGTAACGACAATCACAACCAGTACGTTGTTAGTCATGTCAGAAGATTTTATCCGTGCACTCACTTTGTCGCTCTGTTCCTTACTACCGTCATTTACGTGGCTGCTAGAAAAAAATGCAAGTTTGATTTCAAACTGGTTTCAAAGATGTACCACGATGTACGTAAGCTATTTTAATAGTTATTCAAATCGATCTTTTCCTCTGGTGTCATTCGTATCTCTTTTCAATTTTTTTTTCAAGCGCACTCATCGTTTGCGTATATTATACGTCGTTCAAGTACTCTAATACCTACGAGTTTATATGCATACATAATATTTGCCATCAAACGAGAACATGAGAGTAAAAATTATTATACCTATTTGTTGCAAAAACTACAACGAAAATCATTGTAATTAAGCTGTACAATAATATAGCAAAGGACCAAATCCTTGTGGACGACACTCAATGCTCAGGTACATTTTATCAGATTTACATGATTACTTGAACCCTAAATGTCTCCTTATGTTCTTGTCGTACATTGATTTCCTAATCATAGTGACCGTCATCTCGTAACTGTTGCTCAATATTATCTGGAAAATATCACTTTGAGCCCTTTATACCGCACTTTTTACCCTGCCATTGATCACATATACTTCGTTTTCTCTTCGCTACGGCATCCCAGTTCCTCACAGCTTTTGAAATTAATTATCCCTCCCCCCCTTGGTGTAACCAGAGAGCTGTGAATTTGCGAAGCGTTAATTAATCCTTACACCGAAGCGAGCGCCCCCGCGCCCTCAAATTCCGATCTCCGCTGCAGCGGTACATTTTTCGCCAGGGCGCCAACACACAAAACGCGCCGAGGGACACTATTATGGCGAAAGATGGATCGCCGGTTCAACGCGTCGTTAGCCACACTTGCCTGATGGCTTTTTCCCCGCTACGTGGCTGCTTTTCCCTGTGTACCTCCAGTACGGCTCAATTGTCGCCAGGTGACTTGCACGTTTCGTCCTTTTGCCTTATACGATAACTACGAACGGGTACAGGTACCCCTCAATTCGTGAGTTTTCAGAGTTATCTTTGGACACTTGATTTGTTGTTGCAGCGCAATCCCATGCAAAAAATTGCCTTAAAATAAAACTTGTGAAATTCGCGAGTCCTTTTTTTTTCAATTCCATGGGGATGTGAAACAGTTGTAATGTTTCCATGGGGATGAAGTAAAGTAAACACTCTGTTTTGCTGGTCTGTTTCAGCGATCGCCAAGACACGGAAACATCGCCGAAGACGGAGGCCGAGGACAAGTGAGTCTGACTCGGCGGAACAGCAGTCGAAGCTGGCCGGTCGGAGCAGCGGCGCGACCGCAACCGGCAGCCACGAGACGAAGGAGATGAGGACAACGACGACGAGGAGGACATGTTGGATGGGCAGCATCGGGAGGTGGGAGAGGAGGAGGGCAAACTCGGGGCCATGCGGAAGGCGCTCTGCGCGAGTATAAAGGCCGCGAGCTCGGCTCTAGCCGCTGCCACGTACTTCTAAACTTTTTTTTTTTTATCGTGGCTTGTTCTTTCTTTCTCTTGTTTCTTTTTATTTATTTTCCTGGGATAGAGACCGTTTAGTGGTTGATTAAGTGGTGTATTGGACGTTTAATTATATATTTGATTTGTGATAATACCTAAGTAGCGTTGCCGGGATTTTCGGATCTTGGGGATGGTTTTTTCCCCCTCGACATGGATATACCATTAGAAGAGAACGTGCACACGTGTGATACGATAGTCGTGTTGAAACTGTAATATTAAGGGTAAAAGTAGATTTTCATGCTTCGTCGTGGGAATATAATTTTTCCAAGATCTCGAACATTCCCGATTTCGTGTGTGATGCCGATTGCTCTGATTCGAGTTTTCATATGTGATCCTGTACCTATAGTGTAGATCGGCGTGCTTCGATGCGAAGCTTCATCATTCTCGCTACAGTTTACAGATTTAAAGTCACGAAATTTTCAAATTATATACAGTTTTAACGCGTATAATGATTTTAAAAATCTCAAGTCAAATTGGTTTGAAAGATTTTCGTGCAAATTAACAATTTTAAAGTGTACCCGACAGCCACTCTAAAAAAAAAAAAAAAAAAATTTAAAAGGCCCCAAGAGCATGTCCGTTTGTATCGAATGACGTTTGTTTGAAGTGACTGTCTGCGCTCCACATACATGTACGAATACGTGTGTATAAAAACGGAACGATCTGTCTGTATAACCGAAAAGCCGATTTCCTCAACGACCGAGAGACGCTTAAAAGCTTTTCCCCAAACTACTTCGGAAAAGAGATTCGAAGAACGATCGTCTACTGTGCCTTGGGTAAGTGGTAGGAAAGGATTCGTAGGTACATGTAACATTTCGAATTAAACGCTCCGGGAATTCGAAGAAGGTAAAGAAAAAAAAGAAAAAAAGAGGTGGAGGAAGGTAGATGGGTCGAATATCTTAGTTGCTCACCGCAGTGACGTATAATTTCTCGTTTCTAATTAAACGAGTCGAGAGACCAGGCGACGAGTAATCCGTTTGCGTTGCTAATTACGGTTTACATCGTGATTTACATACATACATAACGTAGGGGAAGAATAGAAAGGGGGAAGCGCAATGATTTTTTTTTCTCTCGTCATCTCGCATTCCTGTGCGCTTTTTTCGTGTTCCTAATAAATAGTGAGCTTTCGTTGAGTATATATGATTATAAAAATATACATATGTATACGCATGTTGTATAATAGGCCATACTATAGTATTTACCTGTAGGGCTGTATAGCGCCGCGGGCGGTCGTTTTTAACGTAATCGATGGTTGTGAAAACTTTTACGATTTCCTTTGTTTTGCTCCTTATTTTTATTTTTTTTTATTTTATTTTTTTTTCGTTTTCTTCGAACGGGCGCTGTGATTTGTAACCTGAGATAAATAAATCTAAATGAAAGTTACCGATACTTTTTTTTCTCATGTCAATAAAAATAATTCTTTTTTGTTTCGATCGATTGATTTATTTATTTATTTTTTTTTTTGCTCCCCTTCTTTTTCATTGTATATATACTTTTTGACGTATACCTATGTGAGTACATCTTTTATCAGCGTCTGCGACGAGAGGGGATAAAGTTTATTCGTTGCAATTTTAGAGCAAAGTGCCAGGTGACAGGCTACGGCTTCACTCGAATTTTCTACGCGGCTTGCAGTTTAATATGCATCGGGACACGTTGCACCAACGACACCAGTGTACTCGTACAAAGTGCCTGCGTGCGGGGGGGAGGGGGTCTCGAGGGAAGGGTTTGATACGTACATTCGATTAGATATTCCAGACAAAAGGGGGAGGGGGAGAGAAAGAGAGAGCTGTCAGACCGGCACTTTAATGAATCATAGTCTGACCGGGGCCGCGTCGTAATTTGATCCGGAGCATGAGAGCTGGTATGGGACGACCCGGGGTAAAAATAGCCGCGATTGTTATAATTGGTACATCACGGGGAAACGTATATGTATAGTATAGACAGTGCGAGGTGCTCGCGGATTTGACGACCAAGATTTCAAAGCGTCCGCGTGGACGCGTCGCGAGAGCGGAGGCTGCATAATGAAGGTGTTAATTATACACGCGCTTTTCTCGCCGCGCTACGTATACTGCCACGGACTGCAGTCGTATGGTATATACACGTAAATGTATAATATTGGGTGCGAGCGTGTGTTTGAGGGGCTTAAAATAGTATATGTACACGCGCGGCTCTTGACGAGCATGCCGATTTGGCATTGGGTGTATATATATATATGTAGACATCGGACTCGGACTGGTGTCTCGTGAATCTGCATATCTCATGAGTCTACTTGTTATATACCCTCAAGATTTATAAGACGCCGGTCTGACTTTTATT